ATTATTTGCAACCAAGATGTTAATTCATCCTACGTCAAAATTCAAACCCCCATACTATAAAATACCTTTGATTGACCTCTCATTATAGTGTAAGTTACTTAATACTACGTATATATGAAGACTAATAATTATTATAATAATTAGTACAAATAGCATTACCAAACGCAAGAAAATTACATGGTTTGTATTCTAGTTCTTAGTATGTTTTGCCATAAAATCAATTAGATCTTCAATGCATTTGCCATTTGACTTTGTATCTCCAAAGATCAAACTGATCCTTTGGGCATTCTCTCGGAGTTTCTTCCCCACCTCACTTTCAAGCATCACGAACCTTATTGAGTCAGCCACCGAGTCACTTGTGAACACCCCATCTTCTTCATCTCTCGGGACTTCGATGCCGACCTGGTTGTCCTCCATAACTCGAGCAGTAAATCCCTGGTCAATCAAGAAGGGAAGCATGACTAGTGGATGACCGAACGTGATTCCCTCGATGGTAGAACTCCAACCACAATGAGTCAAAAACCCGCCGATTGAGTCATGACTGAGTATGCTCTTCTGAGGTGCCCACGTCTTCCACACTACTCCCCGTCCTTTGACTCTCTCTTCGAACCCATCTGGCAAGCCCAATGATGAGTGGTTCCCTGGAGGAGTCCTCAAAGTCCAAAAGAATGGAACCCCACTCTTTTCCAACCCGCAAGCCAACTCACTGATTTGACCGAGTCCGACAACCACTTCACTCCCTAGTGCTACATAGACCACAGAGCATTTTTTGTGTCCATCTAGCCACTGTTTAATGGAAATCCAGTCTTCGTTTCTGTCAAGATCATCACTAACATGAACCGTTGGCGGCATTAACCCTGTGGGAAGCATTGGCCGGCCATCGGTAGTCTGCAGCAAACTAACCCACTTTGGCTCAAAGTCGTTGCAGTGTCGGGAGATTAGTAGGTCTGAACCTGTCTTAACAGCAGTAATCCGGTCCATATCTGTTTTAGCGGAGACCTTCTGTAGCGAGCTGAGAATCCATTTTGCCTCGTACCTGTATATAATTGTTAATTAGCATAGAAATGACTTCTACTCTTATTATATACTTGGATCTTCTCTAGTTTTTCAATACTCCCTCCATTCCAAAAAATAATTCATGCTCTCCCTTTTTGGACAATTTGTGTGGTTAACACTCATTTTACTTTTTTCTTAGACAACTACAGTCCAGTCGTACATTTCTACTTTATTCCACTTTCTTAAATATTAAGTGCGTATAGAACGTACCGCCG